AAGTCGGCCGCTTAACTGACTGAGCCACCCAGGCGCCCCTCTCTACAACTTTTTAAAAATGTTTTTTTGTTTATTTTATTTGTTTTGAGAAAGAGAGAGAGAGAGAGAGAGAGAGAGCAAGCAGGGGAGGGACAGAGAAAGAGGGGGAAAGAGGATCTGAAGCAGGCTCTGTGCTGATAGCCGATGCAAGGTTTGAACTCACAAACCGTGAGATCATGACCTGAAATGAAGTTGGGTGCTCAACCAACTGAGCCACCCAGGCACCTCTATAACTTTTATTAGTTCCATTTTACAGGTGAGGAAATGGATTCAAAAGATTAGACACCTGCCTGAGGTTATACAGCTGAGGAAAGGAGGGCCTGAGACTCTGATCTGTCTGATTTCAAAGTCCTGAGCTTAACACGTGCTATCCTAGGAGGAAGGGGATGGAATTCCCATTCTTAATATATTCTCAGCAGGTGATAGATTCAACAGCAAGCCACAGCCCAGGCTTCCAGGGAGAGCCCAAAGGTGGGTTTGGAGCTTGGGGTGGAGCTGGGTGCCCTCCACCTTTGTTGGGCTTAATTGCATTTTCCTCCAGTAGTAGGAGTAACAGCATCTCTAGGACCTGGGCTCCACCAAAAGCATCCTCCTAGGGACTCTGAGGAACAGGTAATACCTCATGTACCCTAGAATAGCTGGAAGCTCTTGGGGGCCTGAAGAGTTGCAGAGCACAGCTAACATGTCTACCACTTCTGTGCCCCAACATCAGGGACAAATATGGAGCTTCTGACAAAGAGAGGACCTGACAGGCTATGATTCCTAAGAGAGGGGCATGGGAAGGCTGTTTTCCTACTGGGTCACATTAGGAGTATAGGATCCTTAAGGCCTCCATGGCACCTATAGGCAGAGCCAATACCTTTCTCCCATGGCCCCAAGTCTCTGTCCAGGCTATAGGCTCTTACAGGACAGTTAGGTCCCAGACGTAGTTGTAGGAACAGCCCTGGTGGTGGGGTTCTGTTGGAAAGTTGGGCACCGTATCCCGAGGCTGTGGCACACACAGACTTCTGGCTGAGCCTAGACTAATGCAATGTAGGCCTGGCACGCCCCAGATGTGGCCCTGCAGTTCTTCTTGGCCCAGGCACAGAGGAAGAGACTTCAAGAACAGCACCAGATATGGATCCAAGAGGAACTGAAGCGTTTGGAACAGGAGGAGGAAGAGGTGGAAGGTGACCAAGTCAAAGGCCTGGTGGCCGGAAAGGAGGTGAGGAGGGTCAAGTAGGGGACTTGAGGCTTCTTCTAATTGGTTCAGGCATTGTGTTGGGGGCTGGAATCCAGCCTCAGTCACAACAGACTGGGCCATACCCTCTCTCATGGTCCTTATAGCTTTATGGGGGACAGATGTAGCAGTTTTCAGGGCTAAGTGCAGTGATGCAGGGAGCTAGGGGCTTGTGGGGACAAAGAAGAGTGCCTGACTCAGGCAGGAGAGGAGCAAAGATGGCATCTAGGCTGAGACTTGAAAAACAAATCAGCCAGAGGAATTCACTAGACTGAACTCCATGTGGGAAGTTCATACGCATCACATAGAGGCACTGAATAAATATACTTGTTTGCCCAAATTAGGAAACAAAACTTGTGAGCGTGAGGGGATGGGAGGATACGTTCTGAGGACTATGGTTTATGAGCAAAGGTCCAGAGGGAAGCAATGGCAAAGTACAGTCTGGGTACTGCAAATTGTCCATCTGGGGGGCCCCAGCAGGTACATGGTCAGAGATGAGGCTAAAGAGACCAGTGTGTGCCATGCCTCTGAATTTGGACTTTACCCTAAGAATGATAGTGAACCACTGAAGGGCATGTGTCATCTCAGTTCTGTCCCTCACTAGCCATGCAAATTTGGGCAGGTTAGGTCACTTCTCTGATTCACAGTTTCCAAATCTAACTACCAGATTTGGAAAACTAAAATGGCAACTACTTTCCTCCCCTGGGTTTCATTGGCTAAAATGAATGAACACACATGAAGTGTTTAGGAACAAAGCCTGGCACACAGGTGGCACTGAACAAAGAATATGTATTATCACTGAAGGCCTTCGAGAGGCAGAGATGGCACCGGGAGCAGACACTATGGAGACTCCAGCTGGAGGCCCTTCAGGCAGAGCGGGACACTGCAGAGCAGGACCTCATGGCCCTCTATGACGTGCACGTGCAGGCTGCCCGGGCTCGGACGTGCCATACACTGCAGGTCAGTGGGGACAGAAGGCAGGCCTTGAAATGGTTCCAAGGCTGACTGACAAGCATCTCTGAATCTGGGCACAGGTATTTCGAGCCTGGCGAGAGCTGTGGGAGGAGCAGACCATGACCACAGAGCATCACCACCGCAGCCTGCTGGCTGGTATCCTGCAAGACATGCTCCAACTGGCCACACAGAACCAGGAGCTTCAAGCCCAGAACCAGCAGCTTCAGCAGGATATAGGCTAGGCTGGGGCCAGTCGTGCTGGATGGCTGCCCTGGGAAGAAGTCTGGTGATCAGTAGTCTTTCAGGGGCAGCTTCTTCTCTCTTCATTCTTCACTGTCCCAGAAGGGAGAGGGAGCTGGGATAACTACGCTAACCTTCACTATGGATAATGAACGATACCACTAACCAGGTCTCGTTGTGTCAGTCCCTGCTAGGTACCTAATATCCACCTCTTCATTTTAGCCTTTTTCACTACCCTATGTAGTAGGTGCCACTTGACCCCCATTTCAGAGGTAAGGCAACTAAAGCTAGGAGAGGTTAAGTAACTGCCCAAGGACAAGTCCGCTAAGTCACAGAGCCAGAATTCAAATTCAAGCCTGTTAGAACTATAGTTCTACACTGCACATGTGGTGGTTCACAAACTGAAGTGTGCAGCAGAATCACTTAGCTTATTAAAGAAAAAAGATTCCCAAACCCTACTCTCCCAGATTCTTCAGTAGGTCTGCAGTGTGTGTGTGTGCGTGTGTGTGTGCGTAAGCTTACTAGGTATGCTCCCATGGGAGCAGGGCCTGATGTTCCTCTGGCCATGAGAAGAGATGGCAGGAAGGAGTATCAGTGAGGGAACCAGAGGAAGTAAGAATCAAAACCATATTGAATCCATGAGTTCTCTAGCCTAAAACTTGGTTTGTCCTGCCAGGTCCAGCCAGGACCTTCTATTCCCAAGAGTCCCTCCAAATTCTCCAGGGCCCAGGTTTGTGCTTTAGAGAAATTTGAAAAGTTGTGACAGAACAGTCTCCACTCCATGGAGCCCTCAAAGGAAATAATGCTCCTAGCCAGAGATAGAAGTCTTTTCTCCTAGTCTATCAGTTACTCGAGGATTAAGGGCACTAGGGCAACAAAATTATGTTACAGAGAATCTACGCAACAGACACAGGACAATCATAGCCAATTGCAGGAACCACCTGCACCCCAGAATACTTTATTAAGACCTTATTGCTTACAGTTAGAAACACTGATTGAACTACATCAAATTTCCCTGTGCCTGGTTCCAGGTCACTCTGTGTAGAGCTTCCCTAATCTGTGTAGATTACTACACTCTGTGTAGAGCTGGGACAGTGCTAGGCAGGGGCAGGACCCAGAGTGAGAAAAATGGTACCTCCTAGGAGTTGTAGAGGGGACAGTGGGCTTTGAGAGGGCCCTTGGGGTGAGCAGAGAGGTCAGGAGTGTAGCCTTAAGCCAGGGCCCAGGGGCAACATTCCCTGAGATGAGTCAAGCTCCAGCCCTCTCTGGGGTCTCCAGAAAAAGGCTGGGTGGGTGTGGAGAGCAGCACTGTGGAGGGAGCAGGGGGCAATGTCCCCAGGTACCACTGGAGCTAGGGGAGTTTGAAAGAGTAGCCTGGATGACGGGTGTATAATCTGTGGCAATTAGGCTTTCCTGCATTACAGTGGGTGGGGATATCTCTTATGGGGGAGTCATGTACCACAGCTGGGCTGGAGTAGCCAGTACCAGGCCTGGGGGCAATGGGTCTGCTGGGGTGACCACAGGAGGCTAGGAAAGCCAACTGTTGCCCAAACCCACTCAAAGCAACTGTATTCATGCAGGATGAGGTGGAGAGCCTCCTCCACTGGGGATGGGGTCACTTCTAAGGCCTAGGTATTGATGCTCTCCCATTTCCTCATTCTAGAAAAACTTCAGGGCAAACCCAGTCTTCAAGTTTCCTGGGGTAACCCTTCATCCACCCACCTCCAGAGACTAACCTGGCTACTCCCACTTCCCCAGCTTTTGTCACAAGGCACTTGTTACAGGGCTGGCTGGTGAAGAAGGGTAGGGAGGCCTCGGAGGTGGCTCTGATGGTGGCGCCCAATCTATAGAGTCAGGAGTCCGGGTGGAGATGGTCAGTGACTAGTGGCTGCCATAGTACAGACGCACAGCCAGGCCAATGAGCAGCGTGGCCAGGAAGAAGGCAGCTGTAAGCTGCAGCCGCAGCAAGGCTGCTGAGAGCACGGCATTGACCACCAGGGAGCAGGACACAACAAAGAGCCGTGTGATGCTGCTGCCATGCTTCATGACAGCTGACATGAGCAGTCCATTTAGTGCCTGGCTCAGTACCACAAGCGCTGCCCAACCAGAGAAACCCTCCAGGAGGCCTGGGCCAGGGCCACCACCTGCGTGCAGACCTAGGTTCAGGAGCACACCAAAAGTGTAGAGGAAGAGGTTCTGAAGTGCTAGGGGCAGCCGCTGTCGCTTCATGAGCAGCTCTGTGTACACGGACGACAGGCCCGAGATGAGGCAGTAGAAGATGAGAAGCAGCAGTCCCAGTGGAGTGATATGCAGGGACATGCGGCCAGCAGCAGCTGCTGGAGGGGGCCCAGGAAGGGTGCTTCCAGGGTCTTGGAGGCCACCAGCTGCATAGCAGGCCCCTGCTGCCATCAGCAGCAGCAGTGCCAAGCCCTGGCGTGCAGAGAGGCGGTGCCGGAGACAGAGGCAGTAGAACAGGGCCGTGCTTCCAATCTTGAGATTGCTCAGCACCTGATAGGTGCTGGGGTCCATGTAACGTTGAAGATAGATCACCAGGTTGTTGTTAGCGCCATAGAGAAGGGCTGATAGCGCAAAGGGGGCAGCCTGGCGCCATGGAGGAGCCCCTTGGGGCCATGCTTGCCAGCCCACCAAGAGGGACAAGGCGCACAACAGTAGCTTGGTCAGCTCAGTCAGCAGCACAGCTGAGGAGGGCCGGAAGGGCACTCTGCCGTTCACATGGCACAGTGCCAGTAATGGGGCATGGGCACCATACATGGCAGTGGACAGGAGTAGCATCAGGGTCCAGCGGGCCTGCCTGGGACGGCCCAGGCCTGGCATACCCCCGTCCTCTACACTCATGCCCAGCCCAGACCCTGGGTGGCCTGTGTAGCTAGCCAGGGGACAGCGGGAATTATAACAAGTTTGGGAAAAATCAGAATGGAGCCGGCTCGCAGGAGGGAAGAGCCGTGGTACATTGCTAGAGAGAATACTGAAAATCAGAGTCAGCTGCAAACTCCACAGTCAGGGCTGGAATAGGAAGGGGCCGGTGGCCCTAAAAGCCACAGTCTTGGGGCCAGTCTCATGGGGTTAAGGAGGGGCGTCCAGATTATTGGCTGATAAGCCACTGTTCACCTTTTGCAAGAAGGAGAGCAAGGATGAAGACTGTGGAAAAGTTGAAGACAGCAAAAGGGTGATAGCTGGGGAAGCCAGATATGGTGTCTGTGGTTGAAAGGCCTCTACCTGCAGGTTCAAGATGCTCATCCTTCCTCCCCCATGGGATCCAGAGCTAGTCGGGCCCCTTGCGCAATGACCGAAGATAGTCCCTCAACGTCTTCTCCACATTGGGCACAGCATATGCCTGAGCTGCGTAGATGCCAGTGCAGGTACCCACAGCAAAGCCCAATACTGCTGATGCCCTCAGTTTGGCCACCACATAGCCGGCTAAGAAGCCCTTGAGGAATGGGGAGGACAAGAGCGAGCCATCCTGTGGAGAAAAATGAAGGAAACTCAGCCAGGGTCTCCATTCTCTACCCAAGAGCTACTGGCCTTAGATCATCCCACGACCTCTGCCTTACTCTGGAAAGCTGCAGTATTCTCTCCAAAGATTTTCTCAAGATTCTGGAGGCAGAAAAAGAACCTAGAAGTCCTGATCACACAATCTCAGAATGCTGGGGTTAGAAGGCTCCAACCACAGAACCCTACCACCACAAAGCTAAAGAGGTGTCCCTGAGGAATCTGACCCCTGCCTGCTTCTCCAACCTCACTTCCTAGCATGCTCCCCCATTACTGGAGCCAAATTAAACTACTTTCATCCCCCCTGTTCATCATGCTACTTCCCACCATAAGAGCTTTGTATATGTTATTCCATCTGCCTGAAATGATCTCTCCTCCCCTCTTTACCTAGTTACCTTCTATTTAAGATACCAGTGCAAATATCATTTTCTTACAGAAACTTTCCTTGGGGTCACAGAAAACAGGCCATCAATAACCATTTGCTGAGTAAGTCTCTATCACCCATTCAAAAGCATATTGGGCAATGAAGCCCAAGGCCAGGGGGGAAGAGGGGGAAGGAGTGGTGGGCAGGTGCAGCTTTACCTGGCCCACACCACTGTTGACTTCGTCTTCCACACGCTGCTGCAGGCGTTCCAACTGGTTCTTGAGAAATGCCAGGTCCTTAAGCTTAGGCAGAGAATCCTAGAACAAGAAAGAATCCAACAAGTTAACCCAGCCCAATTCTCTGCTGAGGTCTGTCAGAGGCTGGGTGTTTTTTTTTTTTTAAAAAAAAACTTCCTGAGATGATGGTGGTAAAGGAAGAAAGGCACTGACAAGTAAAGAATTCACATGGGGACCGGGGAGGGGGGTGACAGATGGGATATGCATCTATAACAACCCTTACAGAATTTCATAAAGTAAGCAGTGTGTAGGGAGACAAGAGGAACAGCTAGGAGACATTCAATTAGATTTACCAGGCAAGCTCTACTGACTGGGCTATTAATAGCAACATGTCTGTCTTGTCTACCGGGTCCTCAGGCCTCACACAGGGACTGGTAAGTAGTTAATAAATATGAGGATGAATGTCGCTGAACTTCCAGACCAGTGGTGAGTAACAGCCTGAGACAGTTCCCTGGACGTTGTAGGGTAAATCTGATTTCTGCTTGGGCTTCTGTCAAACCGAATGTGTGACTGGATGCGCTGGCTGGAGTTGGGGTGGGTGGCTGTCTGCAGGAGTGGGTGAATACACTGGGTGGCTTAGATCGCATAGAAGTATGAAATTCAATGTATGCCCAAGGGAATCTGAATGAGAATGTGAGTGTCCGTGTGGCTTGGAATCATCATGTCCATAGGAGGGAAATTTCGGGGGCCAGGGAATGCAAGAGAGTGAAAAGTGTGTCAGAGTGAATGTGTTTGAATGTCTGCTGGTAATTAAGGATAACGAGGGTCCCGACAGAGGACACCTGGGAGATGCCCGGCTTTGCTTGCCTCGTGTGGTGCTCCGCTACTCCACTTCCCAATGTTGAGTCAGTCGAAAACAGTAAAAGCTCGCCTAGAGGAAATAAGGGCATCCCCACGCAAGAGAGGCTCCAGTGTCGCCTCTCCCAAGGACTAAAACGGTGTGAAGACCACCCCACACTGAAGATAATCCTTACATTCACTCACCTTGTCATCCGCCATCTTCCCCGCCGAACTTGTTGCGCAGGCGCGGCCCCGCCTCCCTCATGCAAAGTACTACAGCCATCTTTACTGAGGGCGGAGGCACTTCCGGGGCATTTTTGGAAAGGGTGGAGGAGGTGCTTTCCTGGCCGCAGAGCCCTGGAGGTCTCTTGCTCTCAGGTACTGGCACGTGACTCCTCCGTCACGACCCTAACTGCGTGTCCGCGCGCGCACACGACCTGGGCGCAATGATCTCACTCCTTCGCGTGTGCGCGCTGCGCAAGTTCTTGTAACAAGTCGTCCATTCCTCGATGAGCTCATAGTTGCGCGGTGATGTCACTGGGGGCGTTGGCGTCGTGCGCCTTCCCCGGCTCCACGCACGGGAACGCACACTCGGGGATCCAGACGTCTGTTTACACGCGCCACCCCTCGGCGGGCGGCGCTGCTCAGGCCCGTCCTTTCCCGCCCCTGGGACCCGGCTCCAACCCCACCCCGTATCTGTGCGGCGCCTGTTGGCCTGGTCAGCGCAGGGAGGCTGGGCTTGCGCGCGCCGCAGCTTCGGAGGTCGAGCTGGGCTGAGATTGCCGGCCGGCAGAGGCCGGCGGGGACGCGGTCGGGGCTATGCTGGGCAAGGATTACATGCTGGCCATCATTCTGGTCAACTGTGATGGTGTGCACGGGGTCCCGATGGGAGGATCGGGAGCTGAGGGGTAACGAGGGAGTTGACGGGGTATGTTTCGGGGTGAGGACCACGGGACAAATGAATCCTGGATTTTTGTGCTGCAAAAGACCTCCTGTACCTCCAGCCTAAGGATTGCCACCTTTGAGATGGAAGGAGGGTTCTGACCGTGTAATTCTGAATCCACTAATACGCCTTTCCAATCCCGTGTTTCCTCTCCCCGTTTGGTGTCTTGTAGATGACTTGTGGGGGGACCAGAATCTTGAGGGAGAGCCAGGCCTGCCCCCTGGCTGGAGGAAGATACGCGATGCTGCAGGTACTTACTATTGGCACGTACCCAGTGGCAGCACCCAGTGGCAGCGCCCAACCTGGGAGACAGGAGATGCAGAGGACCTAGGCACGGTAGGTGGAGTGTGTTGGAGGGGGTCTGAACCCATGTGCGGATCTAAGCCTGCTGCTATACCGACCTAGCCCCCTCTCTACAGAGGACGGAAGGGATTTGGGGACTTCGGCCCCCCAAGGGGAGATCCTTCTCCAGCCTGGAGAGCTCACTGGACCGGAGGTAACAGGGATAGGCCAGGCAGAATGAAAGGCTTGGGGTTTCATGGCACTCAGAGATGCAACTGGACCCACATTCTGCTTTCAAGCCCAGGTTCTTGGCTCTTTCCCATTTCTTGAGTCTCAATAGTTTGAATTTTGTCCCTAGTTCTGTGCTCTGTATTTTGCTACATGTTTTTCCCTATTCTGGGTACTGACAAATCATGTTCTACATCTTGGCCCTTTCCGGAGGGCGGAGGGTTCCTGACTTGTGTTCTAGAGTCTCTTGTCTCAATTTGGGGTTCTGGTCCACATTTTGTATCCTGTTCCTTAGTTGTAACTTTTGTTCTATGTCCAGTATCCTGAATTTTTGCTCAGATTTTAAGCCACACTCTATGTTACATTTAATTAATATGTACTGGGCCCTCTCCCACTCTGGTTTTATACCTCAAGTATAAAACACACTGTGTTCTGCACACTGTGTTCTGGGTCTTATCCCACATCTCATGCCCATCAAGTAGTTGGAGCCTCACCACTGTCCCTTCTGTAGGAGGTGTGGTCACCTTATGAGCTCTGTTCTGTTCCAGGAACTCTTTGTCCTGGTACGGTGAGGAATCCTACATCCAGAGCATGGAGCCAGGAGCTAAGGTAGTGTCTTGGGGCCTGAGAGCCAGCCCAGGGAATGGTGGTGGCGGTGGTGGATTGTTCCCAGGGAAAGGTCAGGAGTGGTATTGGGCTGAGAAGAGGTGATCAAAGGTGAAGGGAGCAGGTACCAGAAGGTTTATATGTGTGGAACCTGTGATACCTCCCATCCTATTCCACCTTCTATTCCACTTCCATGTCTGCCTCTACTCACTCAGGATCTTCCTGTCCTTTCCCCCAACCCATCAGTGCTTTGCAGTCCGCTCCCTGGGTTGGGTAGAAGTACCCGAAGAGGATCTGGTACCAGGGAAGAGCAGTATTGCAGTCAATAACTGCATCCAGCAACTGGCCCAGACTCATAGCCGTAGCCGCAGCCAGCCCCCAGATGGTGCCTGGGGTGAGGTGAGCTGGCTGGCCCTTCAAGGGATTCAGCCCAGGGCCCAGCAGAGGTAGTTGTCGCCAAATTGCCTGTTCTCCATGGCAACCACCTTCATCTGAGCTCCAGACTGACCTTTCTTTGGCAGGGCCAGAACATGCTGATGATCCTGAAGAAGGATGCCATGAGCCTGGTGAATCCTCTGGACCATAGTCTGATACACTGCCAGCCTCTGGTGCACATCCGTGTGTGGGGTGTGGGCAGCTCCAAGGGCCGGTGAGGACCCCTACATCCCCCCAAGTGAGAGTTGCTCCTCCCTCCCTCCTGCAGGCTGTGATCCCCACTGATGCTGATCCTCTGTACTTGAACCCCTGGACACAGATCCTCTGACATGGACCCAAGCTCTGCCTCCCCTGCCTGGTCCAGCCCTGGTTGGGGAGGGTGGGCCCAGCTCAGCAGGGACGGATAGGGGAGAGCCTGAGAGACTGGGCTGATTCTCTCCTGTGCTCCCACATGCTTCCGGAACAGTGACAGGTGAGCGACAACCTGGTGCTTTGAGCCCCAACCCTGATCTCCCTGTTCCCTCCCCACCGTATCCCTTGCCTGACTTTCCAGTCTGCTGCTGGCACTACAGGCCCCTGTGCCTACCCAGCCTCTACCCTACCCTGGTCACTGCCCCTGCCCCAGCCCCATCTCTGCCCCTGCCAGGGACTTCGCTTTTGTGGCTGGTGACAAAGACAGTTGTATGCTCAAGTGCCATGTGTTTCGCTGTGACGTCCCTGCCAAGGCCATTGCCAGTGCCCTGCATGGGCTCTGTGCCCAGGTAAGGGCCAAGAGTGGGGCAGGAAATGTGGGTAAGGAGCTGGGTCTGAAACTTCCAAGGTGGTTGGGTCAGGGAGGTATTGGCTCCCTTACTTCAGTTCCCCTTTCGCTGTATCTCATGCTAGTTGCATTGTGTTTCAGATCTTGTCAGAGCGAGTAGGTGTCAGTGAGGATTCTCCTTGCTCCCTAGACCCCATCTCCCCTGAGGACCTGCCACGGCAAGGTATGGGGAGGGAGGTGCTGCACTGCAGCAACAGGCTACTTTGGTGAAAGTTGGCGTTGTTTAGTCCTGGTTGTTTAGTACTTCTTGGAGATGTGGGACTTCTGATGTGTGCAGGCATCCTAAGCTCTGAATTGGAAGAGCAAGCTTTATGGTTTTCCTTCTACTAGCTCCAGTTCTCTGAAGGGCGGAGAAAGGGGTCATTGAGAGAATGCCCAGGCCCACTTGCTATGTGTATGTTTCAGTGGAGCTGCTGGATGCGGTGAGCCAGGCTGCTCAGAAGTATGAGGCACTGTACATGGGGACCCTGCCAGTCACCAAAGCCATGGGTGAGGACTGAGCTGGCTGAGGGGGTAGGCCGTATGAGGTGAGGGAGAGGGGGTAGGGAACGATCTACCACCATTTCTCAGAGTACACCCATGGCCCCTGTCTGGCCTAGAATGTGCCACCCTTCCCAACTCAGGATTCTAAGCCCAGCCCCAGCTATTCTAATGCCATCTCTCTGAATCCCAAGTCAGTGAGATGGAGTAGACTCTCCCTGCAGATCCCTTCTTTCTTTATGTCTGGGAGACACCATGGTGAGCATGTCCCCCCAGGCATGGACGTGCTGAATGAGGCCATTGGTACTCTCACCAACCGGGGGGACCAGGATGCCTGGGTCCCTGCCATCCTCAGCGTGTCTGACTCTCTCATGACTGCACATCCCATTCAGGTACCAGAAGAAGGTGAAGTTGGGGGCTGTGGAGGGGTGGGAGGGATGCTGAAGGGTAATTGCTTGCTGTTGGGAAAGGTCAGTGAGTCCAGCCAGTGCCTGGTCCTCTACTGACTAGGCCTGGTGTGGGCAGGCAGAAGCTGGTGCAGAGGAGGAACCACTATGGCAGTGCCCTGTGCGCCTTGTGACCTTTATTGGTGTTGGCCGTGACCCACACACCTTTGGCCTCATCGCTGACCTGGGCCATCAGAGCTTTCAGTGTGCAGCCTTCTGGTGCCAGCCCCATGCAGGGGGGCTTTCCGAAGCTGTGCAGGCTGCTTGCATGGTGAGTCAGGGGCAGAAACGGGTGAGTGGGTTTGCCCTGCAGCTGCTGTACTGGTGATGGGCTCAGGACTGGCAGTTTCTCCAGAAATCACAAACCAGTGATCCCAGGGCTGACCATGGTAAACTACCCTTTTATTTTGCCCACAGGCTGTCTTTAATAAGTTTAAATTAGTTGCCAATAGTTAGAACCAGGACATTTCATGTAATAATTGTTCTGGTACTGGGTCCACACATATAAATTTCAACATTCAGCTCTAATCATGTAGGGGCTGATCCTGGTAGGGTGGGCACTGTTTTTCCTGTTTGTCTCATTTAGGTTATTTCCTGGCATCTGTGGGCATTCAAGTGTGGGATGCCTGCACTTTATGAGTTCAGCTCACTCTTCAATAAATACAAGTGCCTACAGGGTACCAGGAAGCATACTTTGACTTTGACTGATATAGATGAAACAGTCTTTGCCCTCACAGAACACTTAGGTTAGACCAGAGACAGACCAGAAGGGGGTTGTATGCCACAGGATGTTGGGGCTGGCCGCTTAAGGGGCTCAGGAAGGCTACCTGAAAGAGGTGATAGAAAGCTGACAGTTGAAGGTCTTAGGAGGAAGTTAGGCGAAGGGGAGTGGGACAGGTGTGCCAGATACAAGGAACCCCAGCTGTGAAGATGAGAGCAGTAGTTGTGGGTCAGGATATTTCAAAGAATCTAGTATATCTGGAGTGCAAAGGGCAGAGGAGGAAAGAGAGATGGGGGCAGGAAGAACAGTAGACACCATGTCATGGAAGAACTTAGAGAATGTGGTGATGAGTTTATTTTGTCTCCAGTCACTTTGAGCCATCGAAGGGTTTTAAGCAATGAATTCACGCTTGTGGATTAAGACACCACCTAAGGTACATATGGATAAAAGATTCAGAAGACATGAGAAGAAATAGGACCATTTAGCACCCCCAATGAGTTCAAATGAAAGAAGACTGGAGCAGTTGGTGGGAATGAAGTTTGGGTTGTAGACCTTCTCCTTGACTAGGGAATCCACTTTGCCAGGAGGCAGTCTGCTCCCGTGAAAGCTGGAGAGGAGTCAGCATAATGGTAGGTATGGTTAAGAGCACAGGCTGGTCAGTGAGAAATAGGGATATGAATCCGAATTCTATCATTATTTTTGCCTAGCTGACGTTGGCATTCTCTTTGAACTTAAATTTTCTCATTTGCAAAATAGTAATAACACCTGATCAACAACTTTGGATTAAGTTAGAGTATAAAAATATTTAGCATAGTGTCCAGCCTTCCTTAAATGCTCTGTAAATGTGAAGTTTTGTGTTTGTTACTGAACTACCTGGGAATGCTGTAAGGGCTCAAGATGGGGCTGACTACCAGCCTCATACTGGACTGAAGCCTTGGCCAGTTCCCTGTTCTGCAGAGGCTTTCAGGGAGTCCAGGGGCAGAAAGGAGCTGGATCTTCACATTCCCCTTTTCCCTAGGTTCAGTACCAGAAGTGTCTTGTGGCCTCTGCAGCTCGAGGCAAGGCCTGGGGTGCCCAGGCCCGGGCCCGCCTGCGGCTCAAGCGGACCAGCTCCGTGGACTCCCCAGGAGGTCCCCTGCCCCTCCCCCTGCTCAAAGGAGGGGTTGGGGGTGCAGGGGCAGCCCCTCGAAAACGGGGTGTCTTCTCTTTTCTTGATGCCTTCCGTCTGAAACCCTCTCTGCTCCATATGCCCTAAGTGAATCCAGGAGGACTGGGTAAGGAGGCTCTGGGTCCATGCCCAGCTCTATACCCCTTAATTTTCCAGGGGCCTGTAGCCTCTCTTTCCTTGAAACCTTGTCTGCCTGCCCTCTGGCTCTTGCCCACCCTCTGTTTATTGCCCAATTTATTGAATATTTATAGGGATGATTGAGAGGCCCTGCACCACAACCTAGGCCCCTGGCTGTCCTTTCCTTGGGTCCCTGTGTTCCTTGCCCCTGTCCAGCCCTGGACAGTTGGCTCTACCTCAGCAACACTTTATAGCAAAATCAATACAAATAAAAATCCCTCAGTGACCTCACTGGGTGTGAGTATATTGGGCCTGGGACAGGGTTGGGGGTTAACCCGTATGAAGTGAGTGTCTGTGTCTGCTTGGTGTTGGTGGTTGCCTGTAATCACATGAGGGCATGGGTGTGACGGAAATCTGATTTCATTCATTCAACAAATGTATTTTCTAAGGTATTCTGTGTGCTAGGCACTAAGTGAGTCAGTGGGATATAATAAAATACGGGTTCCACCTTCTGAGACTCAGAAAGGGAGACGAACAAGAGTTAAATAAGATAGAAGATAATATGTGGTACACCTAGGAAATCTCAGGGTTGTGGGAGCACCGCTGGGTTAATCTGGCATTACTAGGCTTCCTGAAGAGTTGACGTCTGTGTCCTGAAGGAAAATGAATACCTTTACCGAGCCTACAAAGTAGAAATGTGCAGGGCAGTGGACAAAGGTGAGGTGCTAGAATGCCACCTAGCTAGATCACACAGGGACATTTATGGGGCAGGAGCTTCTGGTGGTTTAAATTTGCTCCTGAGAGCAACTGTGACACAGAGATTGAACCTATGGGGGAATAGGGCTCCTAGAGACGCCTCTCGGAAAACAGCCCCCTTTGGTGCCTTGCGATCAGGGCCCCGATGCCTTATTAGCTGGAGATTTCGAGTTCCTTAGGGAGCTGGCGCAGTGTTCCCACACGGGCTCCCGGCATTTCTGAACTACAGTTCAACCTGGAGTGCTCCTGGCAACCCGCTGGCCCGGGGGACGCCCCACTCCGGCCCGGTGTGCGGCCGCCCCGGAAGTGACGCGCTGCGCTGCTGACCTTGCGGAAGTGGAGATGGCGGAGCTGTACGTGAAGCCGGGTGAGCGCGGCCGGCGGGCTAGGGGCGCTGGGTTGTCCCCCCTGCCCAGGACTGGGGCAGCTACTGCACGGGGGGCGGGCCCTCCATCTCCCCCGGGCTCGCGTCATACGTCCCCTCATCTCCGCAGGCAACAAGGAGCGCGGCTGGAACGACCCGCCGCAGTTCTCCTACGGGCTGCAGACCCTGGCTGGTGGTCTCAAGCGCACGCCGCTCACCAAGAGGGTCGCCGCCTCCCAGGATGGCTCCCCCAGAGGTGCGTGGGGGCCCTTTGCGCGCAGACCAGCCGAGAATGGGCGGAACCAGGGATAAGCTTGGCCCGAGGGCCCATTTTGCTCTTCTGAGGTCTCCCTGAGAGCTTGAGCTCGGTGATGAGGCACAGGGCAGGCCCTTTTCCGAGTCCGTTCTTTACTGCCTAGGTCAATAAATAGTAAGTTTCAAAAAAAAAAAAAAAATCTCTTTGCTTTCACCCTAGGGGGATCTCATCCGGACCTACAGCTTTTAATATAGTTTTTATGGTTTTCAAATTTCCAACCTGTAGCTCTTCATGGAATACCATAGTGGTATAACCATTTGTCTTGTTCTGCATCGTCACTTGGTTATATAAGCATCCAGACTTAACGTGTTATTCATTCATTTAATCAGTGTTATCTACTGAGCATCTGTGAGCCAAGCACTGCCTGAGGGCGAACAAGACAAAAAAAGGTTTCAGTTTTCATGGAGGCTACGCTTTGGCTTTGGAGATAGACAGATTTCACACACTGGAAACAGCTAGTGCAAAGGCTTTGAGAACAAGTTTGGCAAATTCAGAGACTGAAGGAATACCTAGTGGGTAGAGCACAATGGGCTAGATAAATTAAAATCTGAGAAGTAATTAAAATCTGAGTAGACACCAGACAGTGGGTTTTGTAAACCAGAAAAAGGAGTTTGTATTTTAATCTGTGTAAAGCTGGAAGCCGTTGAAAAGTTTAAATCCGAGGGGGGCCGCCTTTACTTCTGAGCATTTCCCATGCCAACAGGTGGGGCTATGGCCCTGAGATGTAGCTCTTTCAGTACCCCTATGTTATTCACACTCCTAGCACTGCAGAGGAAGGACACAAACCAGGGTTTCTTCAACCTTGGCACGACTGACATTTTGGGTCAGATAATTCTTTGTGGTGAGGGACCACCCTGTACTTTCTAGGATGTTTTGTAGCATCCCTGGTTTCTACCCATTAGATGCCAGTAGCACTCACCCTGTGGTGACAGCCAAAAATGCCTCCAGACACTTGCCCTGAGGACAAAATCTCCCCAGGTTAAGAAACACTGACTGATGTACATCTTAAAAAAAAAAAAAAAAAAAAAAAAAAAAAAAAAAAAAAAAAAAAAAGGAAAGAAAGAAAAAAGAAAAAGACCACTCTGCTGTGTGGAAAACTGGTTTTAGGGAAGAAGTGGAAAGAAAAGTGGCTATTATGGAAACATGGGCAAGATTTAATTTGGACAAAAGTGGGAGTATAGAGAAGGTAGGAATTGGATGGATATGGCATATGTTACTGAGGAAATCAGTAACATATAGGATATATGGATATAGGTGAGAGAAAGAGGAATCAATATAACTTAAGTTTTTTGCTTGAGGAACTGGCTGGTATTGTTCATAGATATGGGAAGGTGTAGGGTGGGGGGAATAGGGATTTTGGGGGAAGAGGGAAAGAAAGCTTTGTCTTAGTCATGTTAAATTTGGGCTGCTACTGTGAGGAGAGGTCTAGGCCAGAATTACAGAAATGAAACACAATCATATGGATGGTGTTTGATTTCATGGGCTTGAATAAGGTCACTTAAAAAGAATGTGTGGATAGAGGCCTAAAGAGGATCCAACACAGCCCCAAAGCTCTCTAGCATTTCAGGGTTGAGTAGAGAAGAAATTACTAAAGGGGCTTGAAAAATAGCCAGAGAAAAGAAGTAGGAAGACAACTGAAATTTAATCTGGGAGATAGAGTAAAATTTTGACTCAACCATGATGGATGACGATGAGAGGTCAGGTAGGATAGAGAAAAGGGACCACAGGATTTGTCAAACTAGATTGGACACTGGTGACCTGATAGAAGCAGTCTTTGGAATGATGAAAGTAGAAACCCAGCTGGAACAGGCTGAGGAGGGAATGTGGGAAAAAAAGCAGACAGAACAACTATAGACTAGAGCTCATTCAAGAAATTCTGCTGTGAGGCAGAGAGAAATGAGACTATGTCCAAGGACAGAATGAGAGGTAAGGGAGGATTGTTGTTTCTAAGATGGTGAACACTAGAGCATGTCTGTATGCCAATGGGCTGATTCTGTAGTGGGAGGAGTGGTGGTGCAGGAAAACAGAATAACTGCAGGAGGGAAGCCTAGAGAAGGCACGATGCCGGCATCAATACAGCTGGAAAGATGGCCTCTGAGAGGAGCAGGAAACCTTCAAACGTTCATCTTTCAGAGGAGGAAGGAAAGTGGCCACAGGTACAGGTTAGTAGAACTGGTGGTGAGAAGATGAGAGAGTTGCTGTTTAACGACCTCTCTTTTCTCAGGGAAGTATGAGGCAGTGTTGGAAGTAGACTGCAGGGAAAGGAAAGGGGGAGAAGGTAGACAAATTGAGAGGGAAAATGTGAAAATGGTTGTGGTGAAGAATGGAAAAACAAGGCAAAGGATAGGAATTCCAGTGTTGGGTACCTTTTGAAATCTGTACCCATGGATTTCAAGTGTAACTCTCAAAAGCTCGGTTCTGTTTTTCCTTCCAGCAAGTGCAGGCAAGTTGGCTTTACCAGGAAAGTGGGACAATGGGAGGGGATAAGTGAGGGGAGAGTGTTTATAAGGGAGTGATTTTAATGTACCATGAAATCTAATTGATGGGGCTGGAAGGATAGGGGAGGTGGTCAGATTTTGGAGATGGCAGTGTTGTGAACAAGACAGAGAGGTGTGAGACGCTAAGGAAGGGGTGGGGAAAATCATCATTGGAGGTGAGGAGCTCAAGAAACCAAGAGGTCAAATATTGGATGAGTTAATCATCCACATAGATGTTGATGCCTAGAATTGATTTTTCTCTTCTAATTTTCTTTTTCCACAGTGCTTTCCACCATCCAATTACTAAAGGCAGAAACCAAGAGTCATCCTTGACGCCTCTCCCTCTCACTCCCAATCCATAAAGTCCTGTCGCTGCCTCCTAAATTAATCTAAAGCCACTTCATTTCCCCTCATCTGCTCTTTCCCTCTGGTCCATGGCAGCCTTCTCTTTACTGGTCTACTCCGTTAACCTCTCAACCATTGTACATGCCTCCATTCTTGACCTATTCTCATCCATCTTTCTTGGACCATACAGAGTGATTGTCTTAAGAAACAAGACTAGTCACATCACCCCCTGTGATTTATAAACCTGCAGTGGCTTCCCATTACCATTAGCCCTCAAGACCAAACTCCTCCAAAGCCCTGTAGGGTCTGGACCCTTGCTTGCTTTTCCAGAGATTGCACATACTACTTTCTTCAGTGTTACTAATTTCCAGGCATCCAGGGCTGGTTTGTGTAACTTGAACAAATCAGGACTTTTCCTGCCTGTTAGACACTGCCCTTATCTCTGCCTGGTTCACTGTTCCTTCAACTCTTCCTGGATGCATGTACCTCATCCATTAGTTCTTAACTTTGTGAGGACTTTGTTACACAGAAATCTAGCACCTGCACCTATATTATGTACACTGCAACCCTGTAAAGTAAATGCTACTACCAGGATATCCCCATTTTACAGAAGAGGAATACAAGCTTAGGGGTTAAAGGTAACTTGCTAAATGCCACATAGTGGATGAGCAAGGACAAATTTAGAAGGCACCTCACAAGGCCTTCCTTGAACACTCAGTCTAAGTAGTTCCCTCTAGTATTCTTCTTTTATTACATCATGTTTTCTTTGTAGCATGCAGATTAGGAATTTGTGTGTGTGTGTGTGTGTGTGTGCGTGCATGCGTGTGCTTTCCTTTCTCTAGAATTTCTGCTCTGAGGTTAGGAACCTAATCTGTCTGGTTTAGTACTCTGCCTCTCGTGCTTTGCACATTGCCTCATGGTAGACTTCATAAATACACATTTTTGAATGAATGAGTTGTCCCAGAGAGTAGCCTTCTAGAAGAGATGAAGTTATAGTTGAGCTTCTTACCTGTTTTAGCTATGTTTGCTTGATTCCACTTTCCCTTTTCAGTCCCCACCTCACAGACTTCTACGGGGCTCCCCCCAATGGGGCCTACACCTCCTGTGAGTAAGGCTCCCAGGCCCCCACCTGTGGGGAGTTGTCCTGCCTCCAGTGTGGAGCCAGCAAATTTCTCAGTCACCGAATCTGAAACTCTACTGGAAGACGTGCTCAAACCTTTGGAAGAGGCATTGGAGGATTGCCGCGGTCACACAAAGGTAATAAGCCTTGACACACTAGTGGGTGATAGAAGGACTGCCATCGACAGCCAGATGCAGTGTGGCTCCCAAGGGTAGACCCTCTAATCGTATCAGCATTGGCTTTTACCCAGTTCTGAGTTATGGACTCCTTTCAGAATCTGCTAAGGACTTACCAGAAAAATGAACACAGAATTTCAGGTGGGTTCACAGGATTTCCAAAGAACAGTTAGTAGAAGAGGCTGATAGGAACAAGAATTAAATTCATCTCCCATTAGTGATGATAACTTGATTTTCCTACCTCTAGGCCATTCAGAGGAGACCCTGCTGATTCTGTGCTCAGGGAGGGAGAGGGAAACCCTCTTTTTGGATCTATGGTATTTTCTTTGTTCTCTGGAGGCAAGGGATCTGAGGAGTCTAAAAGGAAAGTAACATAGTAAGTTTTACTTCTTTGGTGCTTAGTTTTCTTATTTGTAAAGTTGTACTACAGAATGAGTTTCTGAGGATCTGAGAAACTCCAGAAATTTAAAAATTCTAGCCATACATGCATTTCTCTTGGGAGGAGATCCCTAAGTTTTATGAGAATCTCAATGGGGCTTCTAACCAGATTAAGTGTGAAGTTCCCCGGGGCCTGAGAAAGCAGGTGCTTCCTATCTGGTGTTGCCTTTCCCCTGCCCCTGTTGGGCTGGCAGCACCGACTTGGAGGGGGCTTCTGTCTCTCAGAAGCAGGTATGTGATGACATCAGCCGACGCCTGGCTCTACTGCAGGAACAGTGGGCTGGAGGGAAGCTGTCAGTACCTGTGAAGAAGAGGATGGCTCTGCTGGTGCAAGGTATGGGTAGGTCACTTGGTATGGCCTAGAGAACCCCCAATTTGTTGTGGATGGCTGAGCTGGAATAGATGCTGAGGTTCTGACTAATTGGGAGGAGAGGAGTGGGAGCTAGTTCTTTTGCCCCAAGCTGCTTGTTTAGCCCTTTTCTTTCCTCAGAGCTTTCAGGTCACCAGTGGGAAGCAGCAGATGACATCCACCGCTCACTCATGGTTGACCATGTGACTGAGGTCAGTCAGTGGATGGTGGGAGTTAAAAGATTAATTGCGGAAAAGAGGAATCTGTCTTCAGAAGAAGAGGCCAATGAAGAAAAATCTACAGACACAGCTGAGGAGAACCACATGGTACCAGGTGTCTAAGAGGTTCCATAATCTTATGGGATCCCTAGACTCACATCATTTCCTATGCCTTGGCAGAGAGGCCTGCTCTCTCTTGGCTCCCTTTTAACCACTTGGGAGACTGCCCCCTTGGGATCCGTGGCCTGATGCACCCACCTCTAGGGGAAGAGGTGCCACCTGGGCCACAGGGAAGTCACTTGTTACCCATAACATACATTTCAATAAAAACATCTCCGTAGTGGGCCAGGGTAGGAGAGATGAGCCCTTTTTGTGCCAAACTGGTCCCCTATGGTGTCCTTGACTGCCCTGCTCCTTGTATACGCTGCGGACCTCTGTTCTTCCTTCTTTCATCATGAATGGCCCTGCTAGGCATGATCACTTGCTGCCTGCCATTTCCCCCCAAAATAGACTGAAACACACATTCCTTGCTGGGCTGAGTATCCCTTTTTGGATGACTTCATTTCAGTATGAGAACAGAGGCTCCATAGCAGGGGAGATTTTTCCCTCAAGGAAAGGAGACTGCCTTATTTGTACTCTGTCACCCTTGAGATAGACAGTGCTGCAGAGATTAGAACGTAGCTGCATACAATGAAGGAGAAAAAGAGCAGATTGCTGAGGTAGGGGATCATGGACTGTGACTTTTGGGGCCTCAATTTGGGCTTGAAAGTATCTTCTAACCCTCTGAGGACAATAGAGCCATGTGAAGGGGCTACAGAGGTTCAAATCATGCTGGGAAGGGAAGATAGAGGTTTTCAGTGTTGTAATAGGGGGCTGATCTTCAGAGGTGGGAGGCAGAAAAGTCATGGGGAGTGACTGGAGAAGGTGAAACCCTGGGGTAGTGCCTCTTTTTTCCCCGCTTTGGAATAGATAGGGAGAGACTGCTGGAGAGGCCCAATTACAGGAAGGCTGCTTCCTGGAAAGGCTGGAACAGCCCTTGGCTGGGGTCAGGCAATTGCTGTTGGGCGGCTCCTGTAGCCTGCCCCCATTGCCTGTGTCAGGCTCTGGAAGTGGGCCCAGTGACAGCTGGGAAGGGGCTGCTGATACTAACCAGGTCTGCTGGGGCGCTCAGCTGTGTGGCTGACATGGCAAGGACAGTGATGAGGAGAACACTGGAGTCAAGGCATTTCTTTGAATGTTTACTAAGCAGTCAGACAGTGACATACTCCATCCCTCAGTCCCAGCCTCAGTCCCTGATGACGGAGGGCTGGGAGGAGTACCTACAGACCAAAGGGAAAGTAGAGCTAAGGGCTTGGCAAGTTGCCCACTCCTATCCCTGGTCTAGCTGCTTCAGAATTAAGGGAGGCCTGAAACCAACAAGTCACTCCCTTCCAAATTAGATGAGGCCAACTGATGTTTGGAATACCCCAGGAAGAGGTGATGGCAGCAGCGGCATGAGGGATTCCTCTAACTCCACACGGGATCGTCTGCACTGGATCAGATGTCCATTTCAAATTGTGCGTCATCTGGAGAAAGAGAAGACAGTCGGAATGGTTGCTGGGCTACAAGCTCAGCATCAGTCCAGAAGCCCCTCTCAGCATTAACCTCCCACTCTACTTCACAGGGGCATCTGGACTCCAGGCATTTCTTAATTTTAGGCCCTGCTTTCCTTACCGGGTATCTCTTCCTCGGTCTCCTTCTGCTCCTTCAGCTCCTCCAGCTTGGAGGGTGGGGCTATTGGAGGAGTTGTGACCCCGGGAATCTGAGGGAGGCAGCAGGGGGGTGTCCGGGCAATGGGTGAGTTCTTGCACTCCAGCAGGAACTTTCGGTCGTAGATGATCCTGGTGCCTGTTGAGGGGTAGGGACTAGATAAGAGGCCAGAGCTTGGGTATGGAGCTATCTGGGGTGCCACACACAAGCCTTTTAGGAAACTGGGAGTCATATTACCCCATGTATTAAAGGGCTAGTACTCTGCAGCCTAGCCAGGATCTTAGCTGACTAGCCTTCACAGCACTTTGAGACTTCCAGGCCTAACCAAGATGTGGTTAAGTGCCATAAGGCAAGTGGGATGCCCAGGGGCTTTTGGTTTAGGATAGGTTCAGGTCACAGTTCTAAGAGAAGCACAAAACCTGGGAGACTTCAGGTGGTTCAGGCTGTTCCTGTCTGGCTCTGCTGGCTCTGGAAATTCTGGGCTTCGGTGGGGGTGGGGGCCTCATCCCTTCACGCAGTTGGATCAGGAAGCCAAATAACAATGTAAAAAGGCGTTTCACCCCTGCTACCACCTGGGTTCTGATACGTGCAGGGAAAGGCTGTGTTCCTCTGGACAGCTGCTTTCCCCATGAGACACAGGGACATACTGTTCTTATCCTGACCCCTCCCAAGTCCTATCAGGCCCTGTCCCAGCCTAGAGGAACTTGGCCCCAATTCAGTCCTCAAAGGGCCTTACCCTGTTCTTGCCCCTCCCACCCCTCAGCCTCCACGTGGCAGGAAACCCTGGGTCGGGAGCCCAGCAGCTCAAGATCCCAGGCAGCCAGCCCGAAGATCCTGGCCCCAACTGCCTGAGCCCAGTTGAGCCCGGCTGTAGCTGCTTTGCAAGACCTGGTGCTTCCTGCTGAGGCCACGCTCAGCTGGGGCTTCGGCTCCTACTCCCCGGCGGCAAAGTTGGGAGGGGCGGGTGAGCAAGGCACAGAGTCACCCGGAAGCTAGGCTCAAGGCCCTGTTGCATCACTTTGAGGTTTCAGGGTACTGGGCTTCAGTTTCAAACATCTCTCAGCCCCTGCGGAAGCTACAACCTGCAGAGGGGCCTGCGAATGGAGTCCAAGACCTGCACCTCCGGCCCTCCCTCGAGTCGCACGCACGCGCTGGCCTGCCCAAAGCCCCCGGACCCCCCAGCCCGGCCCGCTGACCTCCTGGGGTAGTGGCGTATAGCGTGCCCCCAGGCGTGATGCTGTAGCAGTCGGGCAGCCGGTCCCTGCCCCCGGGAATCGGGCAGCTCGTGGATGTGGACATAGCGAACGGGACAAGCAGGTAGGCAATCGGCTCGTGCAGAGGACGCGGAGTGCAGCTAAGTCTGAAGCGACTCAGCGGACCACGTGCGGCCTCAGCAACAACACTAGGACGACGTCACGCCCGGGGCGGGCCACCAGCCGTCACTCAATCCGAGGGTCCCGCCCCAACCGGGAAAGCGCAAACCCGACGCGGAGAAAGCTGGAGAACCCCAGGCACAAACCTTCATTTCCTCCCAGCGCATCATTGGCGGGCCTGACGCTGCTGTAGCCACTCAGCTGTTTACTATTTACAGTTTGAGCTGGGCGCCGGGACCAGTGAGGTATGGCACACATTACTGCCACGTGTTAATTCATCCATTCCTCTCAACAGTTTTAGACAGCAAATCACTATTATTAGCCACATTTTACAGGTGAGGAAACTAAAGCCCAGAGTGGTTAAGTCCCTGGTTCCGAGTCCTATCTTGTGGGAGGGGGAGCTGGGTTTCAGACCTGAGCGTATCTGATTCCAGAGCCTGTGTCCTTCACAGCTGGTCACTGCCTCCCATCAGTCAACTACGGTATATAGGGTCAAAAGTGGCCCCATGGCCTGGTGCACAGCAAGAAGGGAAAGGTCAGGGAGGGAGAGTGGGCTTTTTGGAAGAAGTGATACCTGGACTGATTAAAGGATGAGTAACTGTCGGGCGACAGGAGAGGCCTGTCCTTTCATCTCGCTGCCACAGCTAACCTCAGGAAACTAAAAAAGGGCGGGGGGCTGGTGAGAAGAGCTTTGTCTTTAGCCCTCTGGAAAGGAAGATCAGAGAGGCTGGCCTTAGAAGATTTTTTGATGTAGGCACAGTGATATGAAAGGAGGCAGGAGAGAGGTGGTGGAAGAGTAAGTACTAAGCCTAGTACCTGCATATACTAAAAATCTTGATTTGGGGCACCTCAGTTGGTTGAGCGTCTGACTTTCGCTCAGGTCATGATCTCATGGTTAGTGAGTTGCAGCCCCACATTGGGCTCTGTGCTAATAATGTGGAGCCTGCTTTGAATTCTGTCTGCCCCTCCCCTGCTAGCACACACTCTCTCAAAATTAAATAAACACCACAGAAAATCTTGATTTGATCCACTTCTCTTCTGACTTCCTCAAAATCAGCATTACCACCTACCCCATTAAGTATGGACCACAGGACTTCCTGCATATGTCAGTATTAATGTTACTTCAGTTCTGGCTTCATCTGATTTTCCCTTAGCTCTGATTTTTACACTCATTAAAAAAAAGTTGTATTTCAGGGGTGGCTGCTGGCTGGGTGGCACAGTCAGTTAAGCATCGGACTTCAGCTCAGGTCATGATCTCAAGGTTCCTGAGTTTGAGGCCCTCGTTGGGCTCTGTGCTAACAGCTTAGAGCCTGGAGCCTGCTTCAGGTTCTGTCTCCCTCTCTCTCTGCCTCTCCCCTGCTTGTGCTCTGTCTCTGTCTCTCTCAAATATAAATAAACATTAAACATTTTTTAAGTTGTATTTTAATAACTCAGTGCTTCTCAAATTTTAATGTGCACCTAAGATTCTGGGTTTTTAATAAGATTCCAGGTGATGCGGTCCCTTAGGTCTGTAGGTCCTTAGAGTAACACTTCAGGTAGCAAGGATATGTATATTTTATTGTTTCCAAAATGTTTTCGAGTTTCTTACAAAGTGGTGTATGCCTAAAAGAAGTGTCTTGACAGTGCCGGAGGGTAAGGCTTGGGAGCAGATTGTGGGAAGCCGTCTATCAAAACTCACCTTCTAAGTTGAGTGAGGTAAGTCTGGTTGGGGGAGAGAGGGATGGGCTGGAGGACAGTGAGACTGAAGGTGAAGATTCTAGCCTAGTGAAATGGAGTGGGCAGAAGAGCAGTGGCTGTAAGGATGGAGAGAAATGGACAGGAGGGGGGAAGATAAGATGATTGATTAAGGATGGAGTGAGGGTGAGGGAGCTAAGCTAGGATAATTACCAATCTTCTGACTTGAGAGCCTTGGTAGTATAACAGGGAAAACATGAGATGCCTATCTTACATTGGGGAATGCATATTCTGTGTGGAATGCTGAGCTGGAACAGCACAGTAAGGAGCTAGATATATGGGTCTGAAGCTCAGGGGGAGAAATCTGGGCTAGTGATTCACATCTGGGTGGAGTGAAATCCAAGAGTGTGGGATAAGATCACCTGGACAGAAGATACAGCCTACAAAGAGGCCTGATCTCATCAACAACATTTATTTAAGGGGTAGTAGAGGAAGGGGATTCACCAAAAGAGACTGACAAAGACCAGTGCAAGGAGGAGACCTAGAAGAGAAGTGTAAAATGTTTTCAAGAAGGATCAGTGTGGAAGTGAGGTCACCGTTCTGTTAATTTCAACTACAAAGCAATAGCAACAGCTAATACTACTGTAATACTACTGCTAGGAGCTTAATTTTGAGGTGCTGTGTGCTTTAAGGGCTGGGGAACTAGAGACAGGTTGTTGGCTTGAAAAAGAAAGTCAGATATATCATGCATGCAGAGTCTCAACACTGACTTCCCATTAGAATATGGGAGTTTAAAACTAACAAGCAGGGGCGCCTGGGTGGCTCAGTCAGTTGGGCATCTGACTTCAGCTCAGGTCATGATCTCACAGTTCGTGGGTTTGAGCCCCGCGTCGGGCTCTGTGCTGACAGCTCAGAGCCTGGAGCCTGTTTCGGATTCTGTGTCTCCCTCTTTCTCTGCCCCTCCCCTGTTCATGCTCTGTCTCTGTCTCAAGAATAAATAAACATTAAAAAAACAAAAAAACAACAAAAAACCCAAAACAAAACAAAAAAATAAAACTAACAAGCAAAAAAGCCCTGCGCCCAGGCTCCAAGATGTGATTAAGCCTATAAGGGAGTATCAGGTCCCTGCTACCAGACAAAGTACTTTGGACTTATACCAATACCATGAGGATAAAACAGGAGGTAAAACATAATCACAAAATAGGTTGGCAATCTGATGGTAAGACTCATGATCCTGTTTTTCAAATCTGGTCTTGGAGCCCAGCCTTCTGTTCTTTATTGGAAGTGGTCTTAATACATATAAGTCTGGGTACTTAAAACCATCTTTCTCTCATTTATTTGCTACAGGAGAAAGTAAAGGTGAAGAATCTGCCCGATGGCAAATGGTGACAAATGTTTAAGGATGAACAGAAAACAGTGTTATTAGAGCCCCTCACCCCAGGACAGGGTCCACTGGGAAGACGTCACAACCAGCAACACTTCTTGGTAGAAGAGATCTAGGACTAGTTAGAGAACAACATGTTCAGAAGCTGTTTTCCTACAGGCTTATTTGCCACTTCCTGGGTTTATAGTGTGGTCCAAAGGTCTTAAACAGTGGGACAGAACCAGGTTTACTAACTCTTCCTTTTGGTTTGGCTTGAAACTATAATATGACTAGCCTTTCCCCTTCTAGAAGCTTTGAGGATGAGAGGAGGATTTGGCCAGAACCTACAAGAACAGATGAAAATTGTAGTTCTGAGTCCTGAGATTTCTTACCTCTGGTTGGGAGAGGCCACCATTGGCTGTCCAACTCTCTTCTTCGTTCTGGTTAGCTGAGGTGATAGGATTTCCCCTTTGAGAGCAGGGACTGAAGGAAGCAGACTGGCCTATAAAAGGGCAAGTCAGCACACTGTAGCCACAATAGGTTTAAAGGGTCTTAAAACATCAATGATTTTATTGGTGGTCGAATTTTATTACATTAAATACTACTTGGCAATAAGTGGGTCCAGAAACCTTGATGATATAGTTTTATTCCTTGAAAGAGCTGTTATTCTCATTCTGATGGGGTTTGATCTATGCCTCAGCAGGACATTTCTTAATGATTTGAAGTCTCACTATGAATGTGCAAGGTTTTCTTCTGCCTCTGTTAAAATCTCAAAATCAGTACTGTTCCCCACAATAGCAGGCTTCTGATTCCATGTGAGAACCAGTGGTAGTGGCTCTCAAACCTCAGTAATGTAAACATTCTATTCGTTTCCAGTATTCCCATACCATATATCCATTTCACAAGAAAAAGAAGTGTTAGCACTGAGAGACATTTTTGAGTTCATTTACGTTCAATTTTATTTTTAGATGAGGAAAGTGAAGCCCAGAAATGAAAAAGGACTTGCCTAAGGTCATAGAGCTTCAAGCGGCAGAAATGAAAACAGAATTTAGGCCTCTCTTATTCCACTGCACCCATGCTGCCTCCCCCCAAATCCCTTGTATATTTTGAAAGTAATTAAATTCTTACCTGAGCTAGGTTTAATCCAAGGTTCAGGTTGGTAAAATAGCAGTAAAGTAATGCCAGGAAGAGGCAAGACAGAGGAAGAAGAGATTATAGCAGGCAAAATGGGTTGGGGAGGAGGGATCCAAATAGAAAAGAACGCAGTGCTGGTAGGAGGGCAGGGAGGAGGGTATCCTGAGTAACTACTACCAACTGCACAGCTCCTGTTTCTTCCTAATCCTCCTAGGGGTTTCTCATAATTGTCCCCTCTACTCATGGATTATAGTTCCTGACCTGAGATAAAATTTCTTATCCTGTTATACTCAAGGTGCAGAAGACAGGGTTAAGGGCTCTCCCAGATAATTCAAATGTATTGTAGATTGTTAAGATAGGAAAAACATTTTTGTCCCACTGAATAATTTACTTAATATTATCTGTCACTAGTATATGTTTCACGAAGAGTAGTTTCATTCATTTTACTATTAGGTGATTTTTGTTGTTGTTGTTAGTGGTAAACACAAATAGCAAGGTGTACAGGTGACCCAAGGGGTCTTTTGTCACCCTCAAGGTAAAGGCATCTCTTGAAAATACTTGATTTGGTTATCAAGCACTAAAAAAGCAGTAACTTCAACATGTGTGATACTTTTCAAATCCATTCAAAATAGAAAATAAGAAATGAGCTTAAAGACTCATATGTAAGATGATATGGAAAACGAAAGAATCAGGTATGTCTAACACAGAACTTGGTGTGTCCCATTTAGTGGTGGCTTTAGGAGCCAGGGAGGTAAGATTAAGAACTCCTGTTGGTATGAAAGTTGAAAAGTGCTGCTTGTATGGTTCTGCTGCTAGTTATTTTAATTTAATTTTTTACATATTCTTCTTTGCCTTGACACATGTTTTGACTTCTCTATTGGCCTTACATTTTTTTGTTTTGTTTTGTTTTCTGGATTGCCTATCCATAAGACCAGGACACTCTACTATATTAAAACATGAATAAGTTGATGACTGTTCTTTTCAGAGGCTTGTTTTTCCTTCTCTATTGCATCAGATTCTTGGCATAGCCTATAGTTTGGCCAAAGCAATCCATTCTAGTGTTCCTGTGTTTAGCTTGTTAAACATATTGGCTCTTCATACTTGGGGCTGTGGAACTAAGTCCAGAATTAGTTACATATTTATAAACATTACTCTGCTGATTCAACAATACAACATTACAGGAGGTATTCCTACCCACTCCTATGTCCCAACCCAAATAAAACATAAAACACTATAACAAAATAATCTTTAGATAAAAATCAGGAAGCACAAAAGGAACCTGAAGTTGATGATTTGGGTGTCCCTACGTTTGTTCAGTGTCACCTGATTGCAATCCTATTGTTCTTATTGACACTTGTGATCCATAAAGAGCTAAACTTCGCAAAGGCCTATCTGCTAAAGTCAGGTAAGACACACTGCAGGGGCTTAAAACTTTCCCACTTACAAAATGATAGGGAAGAGAACGAGAAAACAAGGAATGTTTAACACAGAACAGGTAGGTAACTAATCTTCAAAATGCTTTTTCAAGGCAGTCTAAAAATGATCTCCAAGCATAAAATGTGAGATGCCTGTTAGAAATAGAGTATTAACAACTTGGTTCAATAGGACTGTGGATTGGGTAATACCTGCATGACCACTGAAAGGATCACACCCCACTTCTAAACACTGTTCATCTTTTTATTGAATATTCTGGTAAATATTTCACATTAATACAGGCTACATTAAGTAGAGCCACTATATGACAAGAAATTTACTCAACTTTTTCCTTTTAAGTATGTAAACAATTGTACATGTATTTACCACCCTAAAAGGTTGAAACATGTAATCATCTAATTCTCTTCTGCATACAAGTAGCATTCAGTATGTTTAGCCAAAGCACTAAGTTCAAAATGGCTAAACTAACCAGAGAACATAATCAGGTGGATAGGAAATCACTTTGTTCTTATACAATGGGCAATCAAATTTCCATTGCTAAGCCTCAGAGAGAATTTCTTAGTTAGGCACATTAAAAAAAAAAAAAAAAAAATCCCCAGGGTTCTTCCAAGGTCATAGGTTTCTCAAACAAGGCTAAAGAGTAAGACCTTCTAACTTAGTTGACATATTTGAGATGCATGTTTCCAATATGAGGAGCCCACGTGCCAGGCCAAATCTGAAAAGGGGGAGGAAAAATTGGAATTTCTAATTAGGAATCTTTAGACATTTACAAAATGAATATATAAATGCAATGGCAATTCACTGTTTGTGCCTAGGAAGAATACACATACATGAGATAAAATGTTTAGTAGCATCATATAGATATCAAAAATCTTAATTCAGATGAAGGTGGTTGGATGTCATTTTGATATTTAGAATTTGTAATACCCAAAGAATTAAAAGAATGACATGTCAAAATAAAAGAGCTTTAAGTCCATTTTACCTGCTGGGCATCAGTGCATTCAGTTGAATTTTGAATAACTTTTATCATAGGGTTCCAAGCAGGATCTGGGTTGTGAAGTCCATTAAACAAGGGTCCTCCGGGAACATCAGCAAGCTGAGGATGAGAGGGTATTATGGTGCCTCCATACATGGAAATTGGCAGACCCTATGATAGCAGAAAGAAAGGTTTAATCCTGAAGTGATTATAAAGGATGATTCCATAATACCAGCTTAGTTCTTTCTAATTTCCCTTCCTCCACAGAACTACAGAGGATCCTTTAAATACAGCATCATATGGTATTGAGAAATCAAAAGTGATAACCTGAAATAGCAACACTTTTCAACAATAAGAAAAAAACCCAACCGATGAAATCCAATAGCAAATCATCAGGAAATTTCCCAACTTTGATGAACACAGATAATACCCTCAACTTTTCTGTATTTTAGTTTCACCAATGAGCTTGTGCTAAGAAGACGAGGGAAACCCTACTTGGTTGCCTACAGCCACAGTCTGGCTTTAGGGCAGTCAGAAAGTTCTGATAGCAGACAACAGGGCATTGGGGAGCTCACAGCCAACTTTGTAGAGGGGCAGAGGCCTCTCTCAAAGCTGTGGCAGCAAAACCCAAAGCTGAGAAGTCTAAATGTCTCAGGTTTTTTGAGAGGAGGGAAGCATCCTCAGCATAGTTTGAGGACAAACTACTGTAGCCAACATAACTTACTTTTGAAATTGGGCAAAAGATCTGGCTAAGTCATGGAAACAAACTCATTACACCCAAAGGGAGAATTATTTCAGTATAAACTATTCCTTAACATTGGCTGGCAAAGTGTTAAACACGTTACAATGATGTTTGTTGACTCACTTTAGAAAAATCCAGAAAACTGCTTGCCATAGGTTGATGAAAAATGTTAGAGGGGGCTACCATTCCAGAATCATCTCTCTCCATTGGTTGATGCTGGGAGAATGTGCTTGGGTCTGACAACTGTTGATGCATTGGATGGTTTCCTATCACAGACTGTGACCAACCTGATAAGCCTTCTGGAAAGAAGAATTGAGGACAGGGTTTGATATTTATTTAGGTAAAATGACAAAATATTACTACTTAATCTTTTTTTCACACTAAATTTTATCGAACTCATTCCTATGAGAAGCTCAGTGCATGTTCATGACAATCTTCGCAAGCCAAAAAAACCAGTTCCTGGAAAACTGGGTGAAGTCCTTTGAATACCCCAAATACTCTACCTAGTCCTTCAAAAGAGTAAATACTCTCCAAAAGAACTCAAATTATTATCCCATTCTATATTGGAAAGCTTAAGAGGGAAAGGAAATATGCATTGAATCTTTTATGTCTAATCTATACTTATTATTATTATACATATTATATTATTATGTATAAAGGAAACTAACATTCCAAACTCTGAAACTGAATTCTTCAAAGGTATATACACCCCTACTGATCATTAAGTGTAGGAACTAAGCTGTTTTGTTTTAAGGAACTAAGTTATCAGGGCAAAATCCCACAACTTACTTGAGCTATCCCTCCAGACAGAGGGCAAGGTAACTATACCTGACATAGCGTTGACACCAAATGACCAGATTCCACTGTGTCCAACAGGAGCGACAAAACTGGTCCCCACAGGGGCTTGTGCGACAGACCCTCCTTGCCGAATCCGGGCTAGTCTCTCTGTTCCAATGGGGGGTGGTATCTTTCGATCTTGACTGGCACTGCCTCCTTTTGGTTGGCCCAATGTAGGTGGGGCAGAGGTGGCTGAAAGAGGTGAAGATGATCCCGAAGAAACAGATGGAATAGGAGAGTCACCTGGTGGCAAAATATTTCTCTATTGTTTTATTACATTAAAAACTAATTATAAGAATATGAGAAACCTTGTTGGAAAGATCACAACACGGGTTCTGTAAAGAAAAATTTCATTTTATAAGATCATTCAAATGAAAATATGTAAGTTGTATGAATATTTTGTTACTTCTGTGTATAATGAGTATAAACAAATAGTCTAAAATTTTTTTTCCAGATTGATGAAAAAGCTAGAAGGAAGGCCTAGAATAGGAATAGGAGTAATTCTTATTGTAGTTCTAAATAATCTTCTCAAAACATATATTGTACAATTATGTAAAACATAATTTTAAACTAACTCAAATGTGGCAATGTTTGTATAGTAACTAGCATATTGTCTGGAAAAAAGCTGGTGGCCCTCTATACTTGGCTGTTTTCTTTTGTGTCTTTCCACAACCCTTTTTTCTCCATAAGGAAGAAAGGTTAATGTTAGCAAATGTCTTGGATTCAATTCATGACTTGGTTTCTTACTGGGATTCTCAGGTCATGGTGGTAATTTTCCTTGTCAAAAGGGCCAATACTCATTGACTATGTCATGATGCTCATTAAAAAATTGAATCCTGTTCAAGTACCGTTAGAACTTCATCTGTTCTGAATGTTGCAATAACTAAGAATAAAGGAATACTGTCCTTTATAAATGGCACTATCATATGGTTTCTAAAATATAAAAATAAACTAAGAAATCATACCAAACTGAATAGATACATGAATTGACTTCTTTGCAGACTTAAGAAATTATTTTGCAATACTATCCTCAAAGGGTCCTTCCTTTTATAAAACTACTTGTAGTACTTCTTCTCTTGATTCTTGACTCTTCTCAAGTTTTTACCCCACAAATGACTGATAATTTTTGACATGACTGCAGTACAAACCTTTGGTATCTGCATACCATCATACCATTGACTTTAGTTTACTAAACTTTAGTTTACTGAAGTTACTATGCAGAGTTCCCTGAGACAAATGGTTAATAACTTATTCAAGACTCTTTGGGAAGAGTTTCTCCAGGATTCCTACATGAGTTTGAGGCGCTTGTCCAAGGATGGGGAGAAAAATGTTGTCTGTTGAAACTTGGAGTCCCAACAGGAGCAGGCCCTTGCAGGAAAACCCGAGTTCCTGGTATGCCGGAAAAACTCGTCAGGGGAGCAGAAGAGGAAGATGGGGAGCTGCCGGATGGGTCAATGGATGGTAAGCCTGAAATAAAACAGGTCCAGACATCAAATCAGCCAAGGCTTTAACATGGAAAGCCCTAACTTTACTTAATTCCTTTTTAAAAAAGAAGAAAGCATACAGTTTACTTTTGTAGATCACAGCAAAATAATCCATTTATGTGACACTGTATTATGGCCCAAACCCATTTTTTTCTTGCAGTCCAGAAGAATATCACTAAACAGCACTAAATATAGAAGAGTGCAATGTTTTTGTTGTTGTTTTGAGAGTGCACAGGAGCAGCAGGGGGTGGGGAGGAGGCACACAGAGAGAGAGAGAGAGAGAGAGAGAGCGAGAGCGAACCCTCTGGGGATTCTCTTTCCCTCTCTCTCTGCCTCTCCCCTGCTTGAGCGCTCTCACTCAAAATAAATAAATAAACATTGGGGGGCGCCTGGGTGGCGCAGTCGGTTAAGCGTCCGACTTCAGCCAGGTCACGATCTCGCGGTCCGTGAGTTCGAGCCCCGCGTCAGGCTCTGGGCTGATGGCTCAAAGCCTGGAGCCTGTTTCCGATTCTGTGTCTCCCTCTCTCTCTGCCCCTCCCCCGTTCATGCTCTGTCTCTCTCTGTCCCAAAAATAAATA